GGCACGACCTCGCGAAATACCACGACCCCGATTTGGAGTAAATACAGGTTGTCGACTCGAGAAGTTGGCTGATAGATCTCCGGAAGATGTAAGGTCTTTTAGTTGATGATTGATGCGAGATTCGTGAGTCAGGAGATGACTGTAAACTTGGGCAGGAGAAAGAGGGACAGCTTGAGTGGTGATGGAAGTCACCACCGAGTCAAAATCTGAACCGAGTCCGGCTAGCAGAAATACAATGAATTCGGAGGAGGGAACCAGCTTTCCGGCCATGGCTAATGTATCCACAAGAAGTTTGGCACGACGATAATAGATAGCAACAGATTCGGCCCCCTTTTTTAGGGTAGTGAGCTGGAAAAATAGTTGCATCACGCGGGCTTGAGAATTAGCAGAAAACATATCCTCAAGGATCTGCCATACCTCGCGGGAGGTGGTAGCTTCAAGAACATGAGCCATCACAGACTCGGAGAGAGATGAGATTAGTAAACTCATAACAGATTGGTCATTTTGGTGCCAAACTGAGTACGCCGGATTTGGTTGTGACATTTCGTCAAACACTTCAGGGGCCGAAAATGACCCATCAACAAAACCATATAAATTATGACCACGAAGAAAGGGAAGCAGTTGTGCTTTCCATAACATATAGTTATCATCGGAAAGCTTCAAAGAAAGGATCTGCGAGGGGGAAATAGATGGCATCATAGGGGTTGTATAGGCGGAGGATGGGGTGAGTGGGTGTGTGGTGGGAGAATTGGGGACAGAAGTGGGTTCTGCCATGGAAGAGGAAAAAAAATTTGAAAATTAGAGAAGATCCCAGGATAAGACGCAGGTCTTAGTAGCTCTTGATACCATGTTGAAGATGAGAAAAAGTAATATGGTGAAAGAAACACAGGGAGAGAGATATGAAACCATTTTTCATTAATTGAAATGTTGTACAGAGAGTCATCTATATAGACTTTGCTAGCTGATATTTTCTGTTAAGGAAATCTCCTATATGCTCAGAAAATGACACATAATGTACTTTAGTTTTGTGGTCCTTCCAATTTGATCTTATCTATTTTATTGTTAGAGGAAGAATTATCCTCTATAGCCTGTGTATATTTAATAGAGAAGACGAGGATACCTTGGAAGGAATGCAACCAACGTTGAGGCAAGTACCGCCGAGAGCTCCGCGCTTCTCGATGCACGTGGTTTTGAGGCCGAGCTGTGCCGCCTTGATAGCGGCGACGTAACCACCGGGCCCGCCGCCTATGACGACGACATCGTTTTCATCAGATCCAGAAGCGAATCCCCTGCTAAAAATCGAAGAGTATTTGGTGTTGTGGGAAAGATGCTTTGATGATGATGAAAAGAGAGCGGTGGATTTTCGCCGAGCGATATTCGCCATCGCCATTTCTCCGAAATTCGCTTCCGATAATTAGCTCTGGTCTCTAGTCTCTTGCCTTTTGGAGAAGGTGGCCCGTGGCCGACTTGAAACCATTATTTATATTTCCAACAAATGATCTAATCTTTTTTTTTTTTTTAATTTATTTCAAAGGATCCAAAAAAAAAAATAGAAAAAGAAAGTCAATCTGAACCATTGAAAATCAAATCAAGGTGGCCAATTTGGATTTGAGTTGTTAATCAATTGTTCTAAGGGGAAATATGCAATAGCCCCCTCAAATGGAAAATATTTTGAACTAAACCCAATTGACTATT